ATTGTGTGACAGGTTGACTTGTCCAAGCCTTTGCTAAGAATCAAGACTGCCTGGGAGGCCGAGATGGGCGGATCACCTGAGGTCAGGAGTTCAAGACCAGCCTGGCCAACATGGGGAAACTCTGTCTTTACTAAAAATACAAAAATTAGCCAGGCGTGGTGGTGGGTGCCTGTAATCCCAGCTACTCGGGAGGCTGAGGCAGGAGAATCACTTGAACCTGGGAGGCGAAGGTTGCAGTGAGCCGAGATCACACCATCGCAGTCCAGCCTGGGTGACAAAAGCGAAACTCCATCTCAAAAAAAAAAAAAAATCAAGGCCACCATCTCTGGTTCCCTCACTGTTTGTCTGGAGGTGTTTCTTGTGGTCTGGGTTTTGCTGGCTGGATCCTAATGGGGCCTTTGTCCATGTTCCTCTGTCTCTGGTGTGTCCTGTGTGTGGCAGCGGCATCAGGGGCTCTGTCAGATTCAGTGGCTTTGATCCAAGGATGTCACGGGGTGTGTGCACACCAGGGCTCACCTCACACCTAACTCCCTCCCCTTCGTGACACTGGCGGCTGTCAAGAATCGGTGCATCTGTTAATTTATCAGGCTTGCGCCTGATGGTGGTATTCTAATAAAGACTCCCACTGCTTCTTCACTTACTGACAAACTGCCCTTCCTCTGCTCTTGGGACACTCTAAACTACCTTTTGAATAGAAAAGGCAGAGAAAATGCTCCCTTGTTTTCCTCTACAGGGTCCTGGCCTTTTCCGACTGGAGGAAGTGTGTGACTCTCGGCCCCGCACCAACAGCCCTCGACGCCCTGGGCTGGAGATGAGGACACCGTGGCTGCCACAGCTGGAGCGGGAGCTGCCCACAGCTGCATGGTGTGGGCCCCTCCCCGTCCCCAGGGGAGGTCAGAGTGGGGCAGGCTGTTCCCTGGTGTAAACGCCTCTGTCCCTAATGACCCCTCCAAGAACTCCTTCTTCTGCAACTTTCTTTCTTTTTTTTTTTCTTTGAGATTGAGTTTTGCTCTTGTTGCCCAGGCTGGAGTGTGGTGGCGGGATCTCCGCTTACAGCAACCTCTGTGAGCTCAAGCGATTCTCCTGCCTCAGCCTCCCGAGTAGCTGGGATTACAGGCGTCCTTCACCACACCAAGCCAGTTTTTGTATTTTTAGTAAATATGAGGTTTCGCCATGTTTGCCAGGCTGGTCTCGAACTCCTGACCTCAGGTGATCTGCCTGCCTTGGCCTCCCCAAGTGCTGGGATTACAGTCGTAAGCCACGTCGCCCAGCCTTTCCTGCAACTTTCTAACTTGAAAACGTTCCCGCTGCAGAACAGTTGCAGGAGGAAGACCCCGGACGCTCCGCTGCCCACGGCAGGTCTGCAGCCCAACGCCCGTGGCCCCGGGAGTGGTCCCTCACTTGATTCTTTACCTGCTTGCTCTCCTTCCACCTGGCCACGCCCTTTTTTCTGAACGGTCTGAGAATCAGTTGCAGACTCCACACTCTGAACACCCCTGTATCTTTCCTAAGAACAAGGGCGTGGCCTTCAGAGGTTGCTGGGTGTTGCCTGGAGCACGGGACGGAGCCCTGGAACAATCCGTGGCCCGAGTTCACTGGACTCCGTCTACTTCCCTGCCTCAGTGCTGCTCTTTCCCGGGATTCTGCCCTGAACGGCCGGGGTGTTGGCCAACTTGCCCTGCAATCTGTCTGCTCCTGGACGCCTCCGTAGCAGGGGCTGTGGTCACCAGTTTCTCCTGCAGGAGTCGAGGCCCCCTCTGTCCCGGGAGGGAGGGGTGCCCTCTGAGTGAAGAGCACTCCTGTTTGTACTAAGTATCAAGGAGGCTTTCCGAGGAAACGAAGGAGCAGACAGGGAGGCTGAGCCCGCAGGAGCAGGGCTCCCTTGGTGCAGGAAATGGCAGCGATGAAGGATGGTGAAAGGCACCTCACGGCCGCTCAGGAGGGTCTAATGGACTCGTGCCTTTGAGGCTGGGGGGGTTTGCTTTTGTGCGTGGCCATGGTGGGGGCGGGTCTCTCAAACCGTTTCAAAGGCTGCAGCCGTCTCATCAGATTTGAATGTGACACCGGAACTCACAGGCCCCTGGCACTGTGGGTCCTGGGCACACACACGTTCAGTACACACTCCGCGGACGGATGAGCGCGGGACTCTGCTGGTCCACAGCCTGCGCCATCAGCCCTGAGCCCCGCCACACAGCCCGTGCCACCAGGACCTTTCACCGCTGAGGTCAAAGCTGGGAGATTGGGCCCCGGCCATGGGGGACCAGACGAGGAGCAAGGTCCGTCTGCCTGTGCGGGCTCACACGTACGGGTGGATTAGAGAAGGGGCCGGGCATCCTGTAGGTCCCTGAGCCCCCAGCACCTCCTCCCAGTCGCCCTGCTGCACCGGGGCCAGGTCTGGGGCCTTTGGGAGGGTCCTGGGCACCGGGTCCTGCCTGCTGGCCTGAGAGCGCAGCTCCACTATCTACCCCCACCCCCCGCTACACACTCGGGAAAGTGTCCAGCCAGCTTCAGGGAGGATCATCCTGTTGCTCCAGAATGTTCTCACAAAGCTGCCTCATTTCCAAACACAATTTCTGTTTGCAGGTGCCCAGGCCAAAATTCTGCCGAGACACCAAGGCAGGAAGGGACCCCTGTTTTGGAAAGAGGGCCGTTTGCTTGGCCACTGCCCCAGCACTTCCAGACACGTCGCTGAGAGGGAGACACTTCCCTGAGGGTATCCAGCCCTCCTCAGCCAGACATCCCCATCTGAAAACAGCAGCTGTTCATGCAGATGTGCCAGTCGCCCAGAAGCCCACGCGGGAACATAAACCCCCTCATCTGGAAAAACCTCTCGTGAAATGGCGGATGGCAGGGCGGGGTGGAGGGAGGCCAGGCCTCTCTGACGAGGAATGTTCTTTTCAAGCCACATAGCAGCTGGCATCAGGGCCATGGGAAGCCCCAGGCCGTCAGCCTCGGATGGAGGAGTGCCCTTGTAATCAGCCACCCGTTAAAGAAAAATGGAAACGACGTTCTCCAAGGGTGTGGAGGAGGCCAGGAGCACCCAGCAATGCTTGGCCAGCACCGCGTCCGCAGGGCTGGGGTCTGTCCCAGTGTGGATGTGGCCTCTTTGAGTGGACGAGTGACCGTGGCTGGACATAGCGTAACTTGGCCCAATCTGCCTCGCAGGCTCTGAGCAATAAGGCTGGGCAGGTGGCGCTTTGGGAGGTGAAGGGATGTCCTGTAGGTGCCCAGTCCCAAGTGACCGGCCGGCAGAGAGGCCGAGCACAGGGAAGGACGCTTTCTGGGGGGCGGAGCCGAGCTGTTCTCACACCCCTGTGCTTTGCGGCTGTTTTTGAGGATTGCAGGAGGCCTGTGAGCTCCTGGCCTTTTGCCAGGGGAGAGGGCAGAGTGGGTGTCTGAGCAGGGGCACCTCCTGGGTGAGCAGTGACAGTGCTGACCCCTCCACTGCCCACCGTCTGAAGGGCTGAGTGGCTGCTGCCTCTGGTGACAGAGGGCCTCTCGCTACAGACTCTTGCTCCCACCAGTGCCTGTGGGAGGGGCCTCCCTGATGGGACACCTATAGCCACGAGTTCTACATGCAGCTGGGGGGACTAGGAGCTTAGTTCCAACCCCCCAACCCCCAGCCCACCAGGGTGGTGGCCAGTGGAGGGTCAGTTAGGGCCCAGGGAGTGACAGGCAGGTGACACCCTGCCTGGCACTGCTGCCTCCCCCCACTGGGCAAACTGGCATACATGGGATGCCCAGGCAGCTACAGAAGGTCAGCTGGAAGGCTGTCGATGGGGGTGTGGGGGGAGCCGGGGGAATGCCAGCCACCCAAACTGGGCAGAGGTGGGCAACTCTGCCTGGATCCTTCACTCCATGGCTTCCTTAGCTCACCCAGAATGGGGGAAACCCCACACCTCCAAGGCTGCTCAAGTCCAAGGTGTCATTCAAAGTGCCCAACCTGCCCTGACTTCCTTCTTGGACACCAGCCTCCCGCTAAGGGCTTTTGGTTTGACCAGCCCTCTTCTCCAGCGCTGGAGCCCCCCATGCCACGCACCTCTCAGCCAAACTGATTCCCAAGGGGGCTTCCCACCTGCGTTCCCACGGCGCTTTGCTCAGATCCTAGGAGGGCCCTTGGCTGCTCGGCTCCAGTTTTATGCACCTTACCACATGCCACCGCCACACGCAGATCCTCACAACCTTCCCAGCAGAAACACCGTCCCCACCATCCAGCACTAATGGCACCTGTGAGCGCTTCTATGTGTTAGGAGCCATGCAAACACTTCCCACGCGTTATCTCCTGAATGCTCTACCTTCTGAGGTCAATGCCGTGACCACCCCATCATGCAGACCCGAAAGCTGAGGCTAAACTAGGAACTGGCCCAAGGTAGCATCAGGTTCCACTGACTCCCATGTTTGGGCCAGGGGAGGCAACTGGGAAGCACTGGCAAAGCCAGTCTGGGGCTGCTCTGCAGAGGAGAGGAACATCACCTGTTGGGGACACAAAGCCTTTTGAGAAGCTGATGAAAGGGGCCTCTTCCTTCGGCGATGCCGGTGCCAGCACATATGTTTCCATTAGATCTTAAGGAATTCAGAGATGTCCAAGGCCCAGCCATGGACTCCAGGGAGGTCACAGGCATGGGCTCCATCCCCTCAACAGGAGGGGAGAAGACAGGAGCTGAGCCTGGCAACTCTGGATCCGCCCCAAGTTGCCCCAACCACCTTCCCAGCCTCACAGAAGGAGACTGTCTCTGTGGCCTCTCCCATGCCCCGCACCCAGAAGGCACACCACTGGCACTGCGTTTGGGGAAAACGGGGGGGGGGGGGGGGGGGGGGGGGGGGGG